GGAGGGAAGGGTCACGTAGGCCCAGGGAAGAGCTCCAGACTCTAGTTGTCTGCTCCTGAAGCCCCAGTAACCATGTGCCCTCATCTCTCCAGCCGACTTCGGCAGGTTTGCAGAAACGTACCCCGACTTTGCAGAGGAGTATCTGTACCCCGACCAGCCGCCTTTCGAGGGCTGTGCACAGACGCCTCCCGCTCTCACCCCCAACGGCTTCTGTGCTGACTTCAGCCCCGAGAACTCGGATGCTGGGAGGAAGCCTGTGCGGAAGAAACTGGACTAGGACTGAGGGTGCTGGAGAGACGAGACTGCTCCCCGGCAGTCGCCACCCGCCTCCGCATGGCCGCGAGCCCTCTGCTGTGACCATCTCCGGGCTCCACTCTCCACGTCGGCTGCTCGGTCACTGTCCCCAGGCCCAAGTGCCAGAGGCTGGGGTGTTTCCACTTTGCTCCTCTGTGGGGCACCGGCCTGAGGGGCATCTGGAAGGAAACCTTATGCTCACGCCACCCGGACTCCTCACAGCAAGACCGCGTGGGGCATGTCCTGCCTACCTTGGTGGGGCTCAGGGGTCTCCCTGCGGGCAGGTCCTCGGGAGTGGGTGGACGCCAGGTGTGGCTTGTTTTCAAGTGTCCTGGGTTCAGGTTGTCATCTCACTCTTTCCACGCGGCCCCTGTTGGTCAGTTCGAGGCACATGCACAGGCGGGCAGCCTCCATGCACACTCGAAAAGCGGGGCATGTGGCATGTGTTCGATTCCAGACAAACCCTGTGCTGACTTGTGGAGTCACAGTGTGGCCGGCCCGCCAGGAGTTTTTAAACATTTTTATATTTGTGGGAGTTCATGAGTATTTTATAAACCTCATTTAGATACTACAGGAAACATTCAGCATTTTTTTTAAAAGAAGAAAGTTGTTTTTCTACTTCATTTTCCTTTGAGGGTCAGAGGATATTTATTTATAGGCCCTTTTTTGATAGACTCTGAGGCTGTCTGTGGCTTTGACTTCACTCTCTCTGGCCTCTCCACCAGGTCAGTTTCCCTCCTGTTTGGGCCACCAGGAGTTCCAGCCCAGAACTGCTATCTCCCATCCTTAATCCTTTTGAATCCCCCTCTTTTTTTATAAACATTACCAGCTTGGTATTTCTGTTTTAATATGACGTCATCTACTTCACTGTAGTGTCAGCTCCGAGGCATTGAACATGGGTGGCATGAGTGAGGCAGGAGGGAAGGACTGGTCCCGGCTCCTTTGTTGTGTTTGGCTGTGCACCTCCAGCAGCCCTGGGGCAGCGCGTCCTGCTCGGAGGGTGGCCATCCCTCCCCTGCTCCGGCTCTGGTGAGTGGACAAAGCAGCTGCCCCTGCAGACAGATGAGCTGCACGGACAGACAGACGGAAACTGGAGAGCAGCAGAGCCGGTGATTGCCTCAGGCTGATGCCCCGCCTGTCAGGGCCACGAGGCCGCATAGGTCTGTCAGGGACCAACTCCAGTCCCTCCCTGGGTCAGAGGAGGAGCAGTCTCCTGGCACCAGAAGGGGGACACTGTGCTGGTGGTGCCTTTGTTCTTCCTGAAATCCCCTTGGTTCACTTGTTTAGGACAGAATTTGAACCTGTCCTTAAAGCACAATCATAACCACAGACTCCAGTTGGTGTCCTGAAGCAAAGCCTCTGGGTTCCTTTGGGGGGGAATTTTTTTTTTTTCTAAAATGAATTGAATTTTGTATTTGGGGCATCTCTACTGAAAGTGACCACCAGGGCCAGAAGCACAGGGAAGATGTTTACTGATTTCCCGAGGCATCCATGACGTGCATTTCTACCAGTAGACGCCAGGAAAACCCTTAACTCCGGTTCAGCTTCCCCTCCCCCGGTTCCAGCTGCTCACTGCCAGCCAGGACGCACACAGGGGCGGGTGCTGAGGGCCATCCGGGGCACTCGGCTTGCTGGACACCACAGAAACTCAGATGCAGCCTCGGTGGCTAACGGTGGTTAATTTTATAATCATAAAATGTATAAAGATTCATTTTTCAAAGAAAAACCCACCAATGACCAATGAAGGAGGTGAATAAACTAAGATGTTCTGAGGGAAGGGGCCTGAATTTGGCCTCCATCCTCCAGGTCTGTGCATGAAGGGTTTTTTGAATGAAATGCCACAGTGCGTTTTCAGGAAAAAAAATCTCTGATAAGCAGACTTTGAATGGATGTTTGCTCCTCCTGATCCCTTTTCTTTCTTGTAGTGACTCAATGGCATTCGGAACTGTGAATGTACATAGTGTCGGAATAAACCCCATTAGTATGAGATGAGGACACGGGCAAGTGCAGCCCTGGCCCCTCCACCTGTGGGGACATGGGGGTCCTGCTGGATGTGGGGGGGGGGGTCTTGCTAGAACGTGGGGCCCTGCTGGAAAGGGTGCCATGTGAAGAACTTTGGGTTTGTAACGGAATGAATAAAATGTAGTCCTATGTACTTGAAGATGCTCTTTGTTACGTGTAGTTTTTTTATTAGAAAGATAACATTTCTTAGGCTGTGGCAGGAGAGGCGGTCAAGATGAGATTCTAGCATGTTTGGGAAGCACAGTGATTGAAATTCTGTAGAAGCAGCTTCTCGATAGCGAAGGGGAACTGTAGAGTGACTCGATACCCTGTGGGCAGTGGTGGCATTTCCCAGAACTCAGACTTGCGTAGCTGTCTCCCCGGTTCTGTAATTTCTCTATGTTGAGCATATACACCTTAAACACACTTTGCCGTCCTTCTATTAAATCTGTAAAGGATTTATAAATAGAAGTAAAGCAGATAGAACTGTTGTAGAGTGGGCTCTGGTTCACTGAATACATAAAATGTGATCAGAGGTCCAAATAAAGGGTTTACGGACTAGAATGAACCAAACCTCAGGATTAAGAAGCTCTCAATCTGGGGTCTGTGATGCCGTTAAACTGGTATGCCCAAATCTAGGAACATTTGTTTAATAAAAGAGCACACAACTCTCAGAGGCCCAGAATCTAAAATCAGTTCGGATTAATACAGAAAATATTGTCAAAGCCAGAAGGGAACTTGGAAGGCATCCTAATCATTCACAGCCAAGACGGTAACTGAGGTCCAGAGCTAAGTGGGGCCTTGACTTAGGAGTGTCCCGACTAAAGAGTTTTTCAAGATATGAGCAGTTGCAAGCTAAAATTCGGGTTATGAGCCAGCGTCAGATACCCCACCGCTAGTTGGCGCAGCGAACGTCACAGTGAATGCCACAACATCAGCCCAGCATCACGTGTCTCACTCGTTCACTTTTTGATTTGACATACGAGTAATTAGTTACGAGCTCCGTCACGGAACAAATTAAACTCGTAAGTCAAGGCCCCACTGTATTACAATCCCAAACACTGTACATGAGAACATCGAGGGTGTGTGGCCACTGGCTCAGGGCTCAGGTAGCACTCAGGGATGAGGTTTCTTCACAGAAGTGAGTCAGGAACCCCGTGACAGGAGGAGGACACGCACAGGGACCACATTCACGCAGCAGCCGCTGTTACTTCTTTGTGCTTGTAGGCCCTTTTTAACATAATAAATGAGTCTTGCCTTTGAAATTGGTTAAATTGATTTAATTGTTTTAAGTAAAGGAAAGGGATAAAGCAAAGACAGGATCTGGACATTTTACATCCAGAGATGGACACAGCTTTGCAGTCGAAACGAAAGGTCACCACAGCCGTGGGCATTGAATGGCATGAAAGTGGGCGTGGTGGCTGCAGGTGGATGGGAATGTCCGCTTCTATGTGTTCAGCTCTCCTGCGTTATGATTGAAACAGGCTGTGATGGGACCCATGCACACGGGCTGGCCCAGTACTGACAACAGGGCCATCTCTGCCATTTAATATTGTCAAGAGCTGGTTAGGTTCTGATTAATTCTCTTACATGTAATAAAAGTGTAAGAATCCAAAATTTTGCTTCCAATTGAAATGGAGGAACAGAGATTGGATCCACCCTCCCTCCTAGTGGGAAACTCTGATGGGTATTTTTCTCAGTAGCGAGGAAATAGGCAAAACACTGCCCTGGTCCAGCTGAACACAGCTTCAAAGCAAGACCTGAAAGGATGGCCAGGCTGTATATCAGTAACTCACCTGCAGCCCCAAACCAAGTTCCAGGATATTCACAGGAATGCAAAATTATCCAGCACCCTGCAAAGTAGAAGTCACAATCCCTGGCATCCAGTCCCTGGATGCATTAACAACAACAACAAAGGCAGGAAACAATGATCTGTAATCAGTAGAAACAGACCCAGAAATGACTCTGATGATGGAATTGGGTGAAGTCCATTTGTTATACATCACTGTATTACCTTGTTTAGAAAGCCAGCGAGAGACAAGATTGAATATCTTCAGTAGAGACATGCAAGGTCTTTTATGGGATCAATATGAATTCCAGCATGAAAACCACAATGTTTGAAATGCTAAATACACAGGCTGAGTAGGGGTGGGTTTGACGTCACAAGAAGAGACTGTGAGTGGACTTGAAGGCACAGCAGTACAAACCATTCAGAACAAAGAAAAGATGAAAGTGTGAACCGAGCATCAGTGAGCTGTGGAACTTTCTCCAAGGAAAGGGGCAAACTGGAAAAAATATTTAGAGAAGTACTTTTCCAAACTTGATGCAAACTGTGAATCCACAGATCCAAGGAGCTCAGTGAACTCCAAGCACAGGAACCATGATGGAAACCACACCAGGCACATCAATGTTCAAACAAAGGGTAAAGAGAGAACCAACCAGAGGAGAAAAGACACATTTCATGCAAGAAACAAAAATATTCAGAAAAGCAGGTTTCTCATTAGGCATGAGACCAACTAGAAGACAGTGGAGCAACGTCTACAAAACAGGAAGAGAAAAAGACAACTGCCAACCTAGAATTCTTTACTCAGCAAAGATATTTTTCCAAAGAGAAATAAAGCTGCTTTGGACATATAAAAGCTGCAAGAACTCATCACTGGCAGCCCCTCACTACAAGGAATGTTGGAATAAGTCCTTAAAGCAGAGAGAAAATCATAGCACTTTGAATCTGGACCTACACTAGGAATGCGGAGGACCAGAAATGGTAATCACATGGGCAAATGTAAGCACTTTTTCTTATTACTTAAATCTCTTTATTTTTTATTTGTTAATTATTGATGTCAAGAGAGGAAAGGCGAAGGAGAGATGGAAACATCCATGATGAGAGAGAATCAGCTGCCTCCTGCACGCCCCCTACTGGGGATCAAGCCCACAACCAGGGCATGTGCCCTGACCATGAATCAAACTGTAATCTCCTGGTTCGTGCATCAACTCTCAACCACTGAGCCACACCGACTAAGCATTATTTAAATCTCTTTAAAAGAAGATTGAGCCCTAGCCAGTCTTGCTCAGTGGATAGAGCATCGGCCTGTGGACTGAAGAGTCCCGGGTTCGATGCTGGTCAAAGGTCAAAAGCAACCACTAACATAACACAACAAAGATTTGACTAATAATCCCACAAAAGAGGAGGGAACTAAAAATTTTAAAACTCAATCCAAAAGACAGCAGAAAAGGAGAAAAGGGGAACAGAGAACACATTGGAAAAATAGAAAACATATAGTCAATTTAGATTTAAACACAACCACATCAATATTCACATTAAATGTAAATGGTCTAAATACCGCCTCCCCCACCCCCACCCCCACCCCAAATAGTAGAAACTGTCAGCTTGGATATAAAAGCAAGACCCAACTATATGATGCACATAAGAAACACAGTTTACATATGAAAACACTAATCGGCTAAAAGGAAAAGAATGGGTGCTCGCTCTAATCAAAACACGCAGTGGCTGTTTTAACAGCAAATTTGACTTCAGAGCAGAGGTTGTGAGCAGGTCCAGCAAGATCACTACATGATAAGGATTCAGGTCCCCAGGAGGACATGCGATCCTCAGTGCGCGTGCCCCTGGAAACAGCTTCCACAGGGTGAAGCAGGAGGATAAACCGCAAGGAGACCAGTCCACACTCTTCTACTGGGAGATACCAACACCTCTCCCAATAGCTGAGAACAAGCATGAAAGCTTTGTAAGGACAGAGAAGACTGGAAACAATATGTGCTAAGCTGGCCTATTTGATGTTATACCATTGCTCACCCAAGAATAGCAGAACACACATTCTTTTCGAATGCATGTGATAAATGTCCTTTCTTGGGAGTGGGATCATCAGATACGCAACTTGCCTTCCATGTGGACGGGTCACAGACCAGTGCACTCACCGAAGCCTCACCAATGGCAAGCCTGGGCCTTTATCTTTCCTTTTTTTCAGTCTTTAGCAAGCAGGTGTCTCACCAATTATCTTGATATTTTGTATTCCTTGCCCACCAGCTTGATGCAGCAGCATGTCCACGCAGTGGGCTGATGGGATCCTCGGTGGCGTGGCAGGATGACAGAGGTTTCTGGGACGAGAAATGGCAGCAGGGAGCAGGGTAGTTGACGCAGTGCTGAGGTAAGACCGTGAAGGTGTGCTGCTGTCCCTGTCCGTTAAGAGAAAGCCTCTCTTCTGGTCTTTCCAAACACCTGTGTGTGGGCAGGGGTGGTGGGGAAGTGGGTGTTGTCTGCATCAGCTGTGGCATAGACCAGGGTTTGCGCTGATTTTCTCCAGTTAGAAAACCAGCAGCTGAACCTAGAGCTGAGGGCTGCCCAGCCAGTGCCTCAGGCGGAGTGAGTGGTTCTGAAGAGCTCACCAGGGGGCCGTTAGGAACGTCAGTCACCAACACGCAGGACTTGGAACCTCCGGAGAGTAAAGGCTTTCCCTCCTCCTTCACCTTCCTAACCCCCTGTGACTGTCGTAGGCAAACCCTAATAGAGGACCACACAGGGAAGGGGCTCTGGGAGACAGAACCCCCGGCCTCTCCCTTCAGTTCTGTGGACTGAAGGGTCCCGGGTTCGATGCTGGTCAAAGGTCAAAAGCAATCACTAACATAGCACAACAGAGATTTGGCTAATAATCCCACAAAAGAAGAGGGAACTGAGAAGTGTTGAGATCTGAGAAGATCTGAGATCTGAGAAGTGTTGTTGGTGCTGCCAAGACAACAAAATATAACGCAGCCCGCATGGGTCCCAGAAACCAGCAGGAGGAAGGAAAGCGTTTGAGCGAGTCCCAGAGGTGCGGGATGGGAGACACAAGGACACCATCTGGGCAGCAAGACTGGAGGGCAAGCTGTTCACATTGGAGTGGGGAAGCAGAGGCTCAAATAACAACAACAATAAAAGCGAGCGTAGTGCCGCCTGGGCTGTAGTGCATCCAGAGGAGATATATACTTCTGTTGAGAGTTTGGAGATGAATGGATGATTGGAACATGGAAAATTAACCAATGGAAAAACAGGCAATTATTAACTCAAGAGAAAACAAAAAGATTTCCAAGTAAGAGAATGAAGTCCTAGGACACTATAGCTCAGTTTGAATAATAGAAACATTATGGTCTGAGACTGCTGTGCATTGAGTGTTTGTGCTCCCCGCAGGGTCCCTCCGAAGGAGGATGTATTAGGAGGTGGAGCTTGGGGAGGTGACTCCATTTAGAGGTCAAGAGAGTGCCCCTTCCCCATGGGATCAGTTCCCTTATAAGGAGAGATCAGAGGTGTACTGGCTCCCTCTCTTCCCCTACCCCCCATTTTTCTCACCTTTCCCCCTCCCCCCCCTTCCCCCGTGTGAGGACACAGCCCCAGGGTCTTCACCAGAACCCCACCGTGCCAGCACTCTCTTGGACTTCCAGCCTCCAGACTGAGAGAAATAAACGTCTGTTGTTTGAGCTGCCCAGCCTGGGGCGTTCTGTTACAGCAGCCCAAGCTGACTAAGGAACACCAGCCACTGTACAAATTATAAACAGAGAGGGATTTCATGCAGAGAATTCGGTTAAAAATTGTTATATGGTTTGGAGGGACAAAGGTGGGAGGGGTGTCGGTACCCAGCGCTGAAGAGCCGCAGGGAACCCAATCCGGCTGCCTGGGCCTCCTCCCCCTCAGACGCAGCAGGTGCGCCCACTAGTGGCAGACCCTGACCTGAGCCCTGCTGGCCAGGGCATTTGGGAAATGCAGCTTCGGGCCTCCAGCTGCCCTGTGGCGGGGGATGCAGTGTTGTAGAGCCCAGCCACCCACAGGACGGCCCTAAGATGCACTGGACGTGGCAGTCAGGGTTGCACTGGACTTCAAGAGCAAGACAGCAGCTGGCCTCTTGCTCGCAGAGGAGCACCAACCAGGGGGGTGCCTGGTCTGCTGGTGGCTTTCCTTCACAGAGGCAGGGGCTGCCAAGCAACAGAGCATGGTTTGGGGCATGTCATGTTCTGAGCTGCTCCCTCCAGAGCAGGCCTGCTAAGGTTCCTCTTTAGAGTGGTTTGAATTGTGCCCCAACCCCCATTCATATGCTGAAATCCTAGCCCAGGACCTCAGAATGTGGCCTCATTTGGAGGTATTTACAGAAGTGACCAAGTTAAAATGAGGGCATCAGTGTGGGCCCTGATCCAATAGGACTAGGGACACTTGGAGACACACAGTTGCACCCCTGCTTGGCTTGCATTCCTGCCTGATGTTTTTTGTTCTCTCTTTGTGTTTGTGTGTTTAATACATATCTGAACTCATGAGTTCTGCCCTGTGTCCACTAGTTAAAGGACAATGGTTTCCTTGATGGCCACTTATTTCCTGGACACTGTTGATGAAGGCCCTATCACTGATTACTCCTGTCCCAGGGAACCTGTGCTGATGAGCATGTGTGAGGAGAGAGCCTGTGTGAGGGTCACTGGTGTGTACAGACAAGGTGGCACATCACCATCTCCTGAAACCCTGAGTGCTATGGACTGCACTGTGTACATCACCCCCAATCCTTAAGTTGAGTCCTAACACCCAATGCAATGGTGCTAATAGGTGGGCTTTTGGGAGGTGATTGGGTCATGAAGGTAGAGTCCTCATGATGGAACTAGTGCCCTTATAAACGAGGCCCCAGAGAGCCCCTGGCCCTCTGCCCTGTGAGGTTACAGCAGGGAGATGCCTGCGAGCCAGGCAGTGGGTCCTCACCAGAGACTGAGTATGCCCCTGCCTTGCTCTTGGACTTCTAACCCCCAGAACTGTGACAAAGAAATGTCCATTGTTTATAAGTCACACTGTCTGTGGCATTTTTGTTATAGCAGCTGGAGAAGACTGATACACCAAGTTATGAGTTCTAACGCCTTGATTCTAATCAGCCGGCAGAGCAGTTCCTGGCACTGCGGCTGGGTACCAGCCCTGTTTTGTCACCAGCTTGAGGCTGTGGGTAAGGCAGTGATGCTGGTTTCCAGGTGAAAGCCGAGAACAAGTGGGGGAAATGGTACTGAGAATGTGACAGGGTGTGACTAAGAGACACTGCTTCCATGACAGTTCTGAGGAGCAACTTGCAGTCCAGACGGAATGTAGATGTCCCCCTACAGTGCGTGCACAGTGGGCCAATCAAAGGACACACGCCAGGACTGTTAATGCCTGGAACTTGGGTCACCAGCCAGCTGCCATACCAGAGGTCACCACTCACCTTGAAGCCATCCTACACCTGGGGGATCTGGACCTGGCCTGGTGGCCTGGGGTCTCCGTTCCTCTGCGTCATGATGTGAAATCTTGCAGAGGGCATCTGGGCTAGGAAGGTTCTGACTCTGTTCGGTTCTGGAACTAGCACTGACCACCAGGCCTTCGGGGGGGAAATCGGTTTGCAATGAGAGCAGGAGTCGAGCCCCTTGGTGCCAATCGATGGCTGCAGGCACAAACCGCCAAGACCTCCTGCTACTCACCCCATGCTGCCTGCCCAGGCAGTGCTGCCACAGAAGGACCAGGTCTCCGAAGCTTGGTACCTGGTACCTTCAGGCTGGGAGACCCCGGCGCTCAGCTGCAGGTCAGGGCAAGGCAGAGGTCGCTGCAGCCAGGCTGGGCATGCAGACAGGACATCACCTGCTTGGACTCCATGGGAGAGGTCCCCTGGGCGCTTGATCTCGGAAGGGGACCCCCACAGGAGAGGAGTCTGTGGAGCTGGATGTTGGGGAGAAGTGTAGCATCAGGTGGGGATTGGGCCGCTGAGGGCTGGGGGGAGGGAGAGCACAGTCTTGGCCAGGCTCAGGCCCAACCACCCCACCCCCACCCC